GTGGATTCTTCTGAATATAAAAATATATACTCAGTGAGGGAGGGAGACCTCTAAGAACCGCTTGGTCTGTCCAGCGGTCTACAGTGTCTACTGTGTTGGCCCATCACCAGACAGGTGACCTCACCAATCAAGACTTCCTCCTTTCCTGAAGGAGCCCCGGGAACACCCAGTGACTGGCTCCAACCAAGGGGCAGCTCTGCAGGCAAAGCTTACCGGGGCCTGCTGTGAACGTGTACTCTGAATTCTGGAAGTGCCTGTGCCTCCTGGACTTGAACTTCAACCAAGACGGCTTGCTATCTACAGCAGGGGAAATGGAGCCCACTCCCCAGTGTTCAAGGCTACTCTGCCCATGATGATAATAGGCGAGAAAGGCAGCGGCCTTGGATAAGCGTGGCGCCCAGGAAGCAGCTCCCGTATGTCTGGCAGCCACAGCTGGGTGAGAGGGAAGCTCTGGGTCAAGGCTGGCCAGTGGGAGGGCATCGACTGCGGCTACTGCTTCCAACTGGGACAGTAACACCCACCACAGGTTTCCACTGGAGTCCTTGACTGCCTATCTGCCTATGTGCTGAAATAGCCACAGTCCCCTTTTCATGCTCTCACAGCTTCGTGAAGCTAGGCTATGAAAACATATACTCGGAAAGGGAATGAGATTCTGCGCCACTTTTACGGGGTGTCAAAATCCTCCAGAAGTCTGGGGACTCTGGATGACTTGCTTAAGATCCCAGAGCTAGTTAGGGCAGGCCATGCAGGGGAAACACCATTGCTTAAGTTAACAGGCCAGTGTTTGGCTCCTAGAGCCTGTTTCCTCCCCATAGCGTAAGGTCAACACCCACTAGGAAAGACAGTTGGGATAAAATCAGTAACAACAGTCTCAGGAGAAAAGACAGACTGTGGGGGAGGCTCCCGGGGACAAGAAGGCTCTCCTCTTTCCACTCTGGGTTGGGGGGAGGGTGTACCTTACTGGTGTGGCCAGTCTCCCTCCCCATCGTAACATATGGCTGATATTTCCACTCTGAACAATTGCTACAACGAGGAGATAAACACCTTTTCTTTCTGGAATAGTCCAGTGACCTCATACCTGGGTCTAACCTGGTTAGTGGGGTTGCATTTATCCCTTCTAGAAAACACTGGCTCAACAAAATTCCAATGAAACGAGGCAGAAAAAGAACAGAACGAGGAAGGATATTTGGACGTACACAGTTTCTAGGGCATCCTTCGGGGTGGTTTCAAAAGTCTCGCAGAGTGCCTGATTCAAACTCTGTGGAAGACTCCCTGCAGGTGGAACCTAGCGGCAGCATTCCTGCCTAACAAGCACAGCGGCCTGGGTTCAGGTCCTAGAACCACAAACTAAAGAACTCGTCAGTGGGAGGAAAGAGCTGGGAGTGTTAACGTATTAACCTGTACTGGTAGAGTCCACATTTCTGTTTACATTTATGAATAAAAGGACACATGTGCAGAATCCAAAAACAAAATGCTAAAATGTACAACTGGGAGGGGAGATTTGGAAACCAGGGAGTAGAGGGTACTTTTGCCTTTTTAATACTAAACATGGTATTTGAGGTTTGCTACTTTAACATGAGAAAGCAAATCGGAATTTCTGCCTGGGGAGCCCTGTCAGTGCCTTGGGAGCTGTGGTTTTCAATAACAAAAATTATACGTGGACTACACCTTAGTGGACAAAGAGGCATCAAGGGCAAAATCTGACTTCAGCCCAGACGATGGCTAAGCCCCTCCTACCATCAATGCCTGTCACAGCCAATCAGTAGCAGTGGTAAGGTGTTTAAGCCAATCAGTGGCAGCTACAGGGCGTTTAAAAGTTATCTTCTTAGATTTCTAAGATGAAACAAATGGGCTGTCCTCTAAAAGGAAATTTAAAAAAAATCAATTAACTCACTACGCTTTGCACTTAAAACCTAATTTTGCTACTAAATCAGGGGAGGTGGGGCTCACAAAGGAAATGCTTAAAAAGTTCTTATCAGTTCATTGCCCTGTGCTATTGGGGGTGGGAAGGGACACTGACAGGACACTGACAGCACAAATACACAGGTCCTATTTCCTCATTCTTACCTCTCTGTCTGTCCTTCTGTGTGTGCGTGTGTGTGTGTGCGCGAGTGCTTGAGAGCTCCAATCTATCTGTTTGGGTGTAGAAGCCAGGGCCTCATGCACACCAGGTAAGCACTCTACCACTGAGCTACACTGCCAGCCCCATTTCTTAGTTCTTTTCCCTGGAAAACCTGTCTTGCTAACTTCTGGATATAGAGAGGACACAGCAAGGAAAATGAGCAATAAAGTTGTCTATTAGAGAGAAAAAAAGGCCTTTTTATCTATACTGTACTTACACATGACACAAACAACAACAAAGGCTCCTCCCACAGTACAGTGTCGGTACCCCTAATCTGAAATGCTTAGGATGAGAAGTTTTCCTCAATTTTTAGAGAAATATTTACATAGACCTAATGAGATCTCTTAGGGATGGCACTTAAGTCTTAAATATGAAATCTGTTTATGCTTCATCTCTGCCTTCTACAACAGCCTCAAGAGGAATTTTTACACAGACAGAAAGCTTCTCACACATGAGGTCAGGGGGAGGGTAGACTCCTCCAGATGTGTTATCACAGATGTGCTCAAAATGCTCTGGATGTTTTTAACATTTTGGGTGCTTGAATTTTGGATTAGGAATGCCTATGGTTCGGTTCCGGTCACCTGCCGCACGACTGGCCTCCAGTGCGGTGATGTTAAGAGGTGGTGGGATCCTGGGGAGTGGAGATTAGCAGAAGGGTTCCGGATGCACCCCCTCATTAGTTATCGGGAGAGGGTTCTCATACCAACAGTGAGGTACCTCTCCATGCTCTGCTCTCCTGTCATGCCACGTGGGCATTCCTTTCACTAAACATCCGTACCACCACAAGGTACACACTGGAGTTGAGCCGACTCCTATTATCAGGCCCATGAGCCTCCATGAGTATAGTAGAAAGCTACCTCTTTTCATTATAAGTTGCCTTCCCTTGGGCATTTGGTTTCAACATCGGAACACAAACAATGCAGAAGACTCAGCCTGTACTAACCTAATACATTTTGCCACTCAGCAATTTCCAGAAAGAACATTAAGGAATAAACCCACATCCATGCCATTTCTCAACTATCAACCTTGCTCCATCCACTCAACAATCAATTAACTAGAACCAGAGTGCTTTCAGTGTAAGCACAAGTTGATCAATGGAGGCCACAGAGATGACAGCTGTATCCTTCCCCTCCCAGAGTGCATGATTTAGGGGCTCAGAGTTAGTGTCCTCATCAACTAAGTCTGAAGAGATCAAAAGATCACCTTCAATAAGGGCATAATGTCCCCAAGGGCCAGACTGTCGTTAGGCCGTTAAGTGTTCGAGTGGTCAAGAAGGAGGCATTAAGAATTAGTTTGTTTAGAAGACACATTTTGAAAAAGGACACAAGTGAGGCTTTGAAGGGGGGGGGGGGAGGCAGAGAAACACCGCATGCTCATCCCACAAAGGGTTGGTCACTCATCCTGGAATACGCAGCCCTGAAGGGAATGAAATCCTGCCTTTACTCTTAGGGCTAGTGCTGGAATGAGGTTGGTTACTGCCTTAGAACACAGGAACAAGAGCGCTGTAATAAAGAAAACTTGCCACATAAAGAAAAGAGAATGGCTGCTGGGTGCAGCTGTCTAGCATACGCCCTCACAAACTCAGGGTTCACATGTCCAATCAGAGAATATTATACTTTGCTGACCATATGACTTCTTGGGTCACCCACAGAAGCCTGGAAGTTCCCTACCTGGGCAAGACCCACTGTTATTCACCAACGAGGTCTCCAGCGAGGCGACATTAGAAAACAGTCTGTGGGTCCCAGAGCTAAGGAAAGAGCTTCCCAGACTGGAGGGGAGTCCGCCCCGCTGGCAGTGAACTTTGAGCATCTTGTGCACTTGCAAAATAGCACTTCTAGTCTGAGGATGTTAAGTGCCGGGAGTCCGAGGCAGGAAAAGATGCCTCTGGGCTCAGTTTGAGAGCCAAGCTGAGGAGCTGATGTGACAGTCAGTGGCTTTCTTGGTGGAGAACAGCACACGGTGAGACACACAGTGTGCAGGTGTGTCTTCGGGTCTCTCTCCCTCTTCACATGAAGCAATTGGTAGTCTACCATGGAGTTCACAGGAATGTTCTTATGACCTCCTGGCCAACGTCACCAACCCCACAACCCCTATCTTCTCTTCTAAACACTTCAAGCAGATTAAATTTCCCCTCCTTTAAGGTTTTTTTTTTTTTTTTTTTTTTTCCCTAATTCTATTCATGTGTTCCCCCGGGGCAGGGCATGCATGTGAATGTATGTGTGGCAGGGCATTCGTGCCACATTGTGTATGTGGCAGGCAAAGGACAACTTATAGAAGTTGGCCTTCTTCCACCACGAGGGTCCAGAGGATCCCAGCCAGGCTGCCAGGTGTGGATTTCATATTAGCATTCTGAGGTCAAACCAGTGTGGGGACAGAGAATACTGAGATGAGCCCAACCTCAGCTTAACACTTTCTATGGTTCTGAGTCTACAAGGTCCGATGGTGATGGCTGAGAACGGCGCCCTCAGGAGGCTGAGCACTGTGGTGTTTATACATGTCTTTTTGTGAAGATCCTAACACCAAGTGGTGCACTGATGCTAGACTATTAAGCGTTATAACTGCATAATTTTTTTATAGCAACGTTATAAGGGTTTATGTTTGAGGTACCCAAGAAGGCCTGGGAAATTGTTTGCAGTTATATGTCACTATTACTTTCACAATCAGCAAGACTGAATGAATGACCACACCCACTTCCCTCCATAATCCCATTATCAGCTCAGCTCCGGGGAAATGTGAATCAGCAGGCTTCCAGCGCCTTGGGCTCCAGGGAAGCCTCACCTGACTCGATGCAGAAGAGGTTCTGCAGTCCAATGGTCAGACCGAGGGACCAGAAATGACACCCAAGGCCACTGCCAGCGGAGCCCCAGGAGAAGCTTACCACATAGAGCTTGCGCCAGATGACGGCCCATTCTCGAAGTGTGTTTGTGAGCTCCTGAACCAGCGGCAGCTCCCCAGGAATCACGGTCTCATTCTGCCTACAGGGAAACAAGGGACGCGCTTTAATGCACATGATAGGAGCCGCCTTTTCTGACAGCCACACTCTTGACAATCAAAGGTAGGAAAGTGGCTGCCGTGCGCTGAGATAAACCAACCTGCCTTTGGAGTTGGGTTATAACTGAACGTGGGTAAACACGGAGGAAAAAAAGTGAGGAACTGAGAACATCCAAGTCTATAAACCTAAACCAAGTTTTCATATGGCACAGGCTACACCGGGACTCTACTTCCCCATGTTGGTTCTCCCCGAAAGTACCAGTGACCAAGCCAGGTTATTAGCTGGTTCCATCGGGCAGCTACTTCAATCATCTACATGGCATTTGACCTCGCCCAACAGCCTGCTAGTGGGAACTGATCCACGCCCTCTTCTAGAAAGGACTGGGAAGCAGCAAGTGAGGAAATGGGGACAAACCAACGTCCTCACTCACAGTCGGCTTAACTGAGTTTACTCACATACACTCTCACTGATATTCCGACAGTTACCCATAGGAGGAAGAGATCGGGGGAAGGCAAGCACTTAGGGAAGAGAGTAGGACCACCAGGTGAAAATGCGGACAAAGGATAGCTGAGTGCGAACTTCATGCAATATACTAGGGCATCTATGACTCATGAAACCTGTTACATGCCAATGAAGGAAAACTGCACGAGGTCCCCAACTTAGGGGAGTCAGGTTTTGCAACTTGAAGGCAGCTGGGACATCACACACTCACAGGTGTTGGCTCTTCCCTTCTGGCAGAGTGTTGAACACACTACATGAGGTACGCACTACTCTATCCTCCAACAGGATCTGTGTTCGATGGTTTTGCACAACCGTCGGCTGATGTGAATGTTCTGAGTACGCTGGGGGTGGCTGGGCTAAGCTACCTCTCACAGGTTAGGTGCAATAAACGCACTCTTGTCTTTGTTTATTAGCATATATTAATTACAGAATGAGCTTTCCTGTGACACTGGCCTGTGATATTTTTAACTCCGGTGGGCTTATAATGGTGCGATCAGGTTGTAAGCCTAGGAACAACTGTTCTGCTGACTCAACCCAGTAAAGTGGGCATCCCACCTTTCATCTGGCAGATGTAGTTAGAACAGGGCTCCTATTTTGCCTTCACAAGAGACACAGGGACGCTGCCCAGGAATGGTCCGCTGGGCAAAGGGTTCCTTGAGGAAGTAGAGGAGAATAGTTCCTAGAGCTGGTTCCGTTGTGGACAACCCGTGAGAACTTGAGCAGGTCTCTACCTCTTACCTTAAATTGTGGGTGCTGAGCTTTGGAGTGTCTCAATAACGTTCATCTACCTCAGAGGTTCCGGGATTCTGCGACATCCTCCCTAGCACCAGCCCATGGATTAGAGTTTTACTTTGTAATTCCCTCTTCCTATTTTGGGTGACCCCTTTTTCCTAAGGCGCCACTGAGTCAGTCGTTTGCAGGACAAATGACACGAACGAGAAATGCGTACTCAAAACTGGATGGATTTCAGCTACAGAACAAGCTCCCAGCCACTCTTTCCCCAGAATCTCACGTCAGGCCCATCATTACTGCTTTCCTCCAGGAAGCCATGAACATTCCGAGGTGCACTGGCAACTACATGATGTATTCAAGGTTCGGAGCTGAGAAGGGCAGACTGACGTCTCTCACATTCACATGCCCAGTGAGCAGTTCAAAACTCCAAGAGGAAATGGAAAGCCCTCAGAGTTCATCGCTGCTGCGTTTACTATTCTGGGGAAGGGTGTCAAGGAGAAATAAGCACAGAAAGAAAAGGCAGAAGGAGGAATTATATGAGAGAAAGCAGTGAGAGCAGAAAGACTTCAGAGGGTATAGGACATACTTTCATGACCATCTGAGCTCTTTGTCACTTTTTAGCGGACTAGAACTTACCCTCCATCTTCCACAGTCGCCTCTTTCAAATGGATGTACGTTTCAGGGAAAATGCCCTACAGAAAGAGAACTCTTGTTAGATGGTCAATAAAAACAATCTCAGAGCCAAGAGCATAAATACTGCAAAACGGGCGCTCAACACCTTGACAAAAGGAAATCCCCAACTGAGTTTGCAGGGCATCACTTATGGTGACCAATGACATTTCAGCAAAGGAAGGAGGGAAACACTAAAATAGTAGAAATTAAGATCTGGGCTTGAGATGCATGGGATGTTTTGAAAATAAAGAGCCAAAATGCCCCATCAGCTCAGAGAGCCAACAGTGGCAAGAAGCAGACTACTGAGACAACATGGCACAGGGCGCCCATTAAAGGGCATCTCACCATGCGTGAGATGGAGCTGCTAACATCTTATTAGCTTCCTACCTGTCAGCACTTTCACTGAAGACCGACTGCAAATCATTATTAGTTACCTGATCATCTTCATCGTGTCAGAGCCTCCAATTGACCTCTGTTTTATAATCCCAAGACGCATTTCTGTATCAGTATTATGACACTGCTCACTAGAGAAAATTTTTAAAAAGCCCCAAGGGGTAGCCGGGCATAGTGGTGCACGCCTGTAATCCCAGCACTCAGGGAGGCAGAGGCAGGTGGATCTCTGTGAGTTTGAGCCCAGGCTGGTGTACAAAAGGGGAGTCCAGGACAGCCAAGGATACACAACAAAAAACCTGTCTCAAAAAACAAAACAAAACAAAAAGTCCCAAGGGCACAAAACCATTGGGTGGGAACTAGCGGGCAGAAGAGATTTCTCAGTGGGAAGGAGCCATCCACATGAGTTCTCTTGAATATCAATAGTCCGTGCCTCCTCATACAATACTCTCAAGATGCCGCACAGAGAAGGAGCCACTGAGCCTTGTGTTAGATAGTATACCTGGCAGAGTAGATGAACTACATGGCATCTTGGCTTAATTACTCCTAGCCTTGCTCATGGGAGGGCTGGCATGATCTCTGTGGACAGTACATGTCAAGGATCGCCAACCACAAGGGTGGTGGGAGAGACAGCCCTACAGTAGTCTGTGGGATTATAGTTCAAAATGGGCCTGCACCCTGTAATCTTTAACAGGACAAGAAACCAGCGAATTTCGACAGTGGTTCCTCTTGGGGCCAGTTTCATGTAATACTCTTTCTCCTTTTGTCTTCCTTTGCCGATAAACGAGGAATCATTAGGGATTAAGCTGATCTCAGCACAGGCGATGACAGAGGGGATTCTGCAACTGCTTTAGGCAGAAGCAAAAACCCTGTCTCTTCATCTAGACGGGGTGATGCATTAGTGAGAAAAGAGCGATCAGGTTCCTCTATTGATGAGACCAAGGACACACATACACACAAGGTGACCTTGAGACTCTTCAGGTGTGCAGTGTAGAGAGTGATTGGGGGTAATTGACTAAGTTATAACAAAACAAACACAAATTCAATGTAACCCTGAAGACACCAGATTACTGTTGACATCTGAAAGAGGAACAGCAATGGTGGTGAGGTGGAGAGAGCAATAGTAATGAGTAATCACCTTCACATACAAGACATTATTACACAGGGTTTGCATGTATTTGGCTGTGTTTGTTTCCATAATGTTCTTTTACCACAGGGTCAATCCATGATCGGATACCTGCCCATCACCTTGCCCATTTAAGTACCTGCCCAATTAGAGAACTTCGTTGTGTAATACTTCCAGATTTTACTCTCAGCTCTGATTTATTTAATTGACAGTATTTGAATGTCTTCTTCCTATTGAAATTATCTGGAAGCAGTCATGAATGCCTCTGTTCACGGGGTACCAGTGCTACCTCAGCGCAAATACAAAGTGCAATCACCGGAGGAGAAGGCATAAGCACTGTCTTGAAAACATGGAGCTGGAGAAACAGGCCACTTGGTAAAGTGTTTGCCCTCGCAAGCACGAGGACCTGAGTTCCATCCCCAGCCCTCTCATAAAGGTGGGCGCGATGGCCAAGCTTGTCATCTCAGGCTAGGCAGATGACCTGGGGCGTGATGGCCAGCCTCGCTGAAGCAGTGAGTTCCAAGACAGTGGGAGAACTTGTCTCTAAAAATGTCATGGCAGAGGATACCTAAGAAACGACATACTAGGGGGCCAACCTCTGGCTTCCACACCTGTGCAGGCACACACAGGGATACAACGACAAGCCATATGTTACTGATTCTTCTCAGCACAATAAAAGAGTGAAGAACTCATGAAAAGAGAGAGGAGTTGGATAGGAGTGATCAGCTTAAAGCAGTAGCTCTGGGCCAACAAGATGGCACGGTGGGTAAAGGCATTTGTTGCCAAACGTCACAACCTGGATTTGAACCCCAGGACCCACATGGTGGAAGTGGAGAACTGATTCCTGCAAGCTGTCCTCTGACCTCACCATTCATGCTATGACACAGGAGCAAGCATGTGCACATGCATAAACACAAACATACATAAATGTATGAAAAACTCTACACAATAGGGTAATAGTTACAGGTTTAAAATAAGCTATGACATTGCTAAGGCTAGGAGTGTAGCTCTAAGACAGAACACGTGTTTCAGATGTGGGAGGTTTAACGGAACTTGCCTAAGTCTCCTAAGTACCTGGGATGATAAGTGTGCACTTCCGGGCCCCGCTGTTCTTGGTATTGTGTATGATTTGCCCAGAAAGTTTTCTGTTTACACTCTTACATGTTAAAAAAAGGAAAGGACTGAAATTAAGTGACCTGGGCATTCTCTGTCTCTCTCTCACAAGCAAGAAGCCCAAATGTTAACACTGCTCATCCGAAGAAAAATTCTAGAAAAACATTTTGCAAATCAAGAAGAAAAAAAAAAAAAAAAAGCCTGCTGAGGGGGCTGGAGAGATGGCTCAACGTTAGGAGCACTGACTGTCCTGCCCAAAGGTCCTGAGTTCAATTCCCAGCAACCACATGGTGGCTCACAACCATCTATAAGTGAGATCTGGTGTCCTCTTCTGGCCTGCAGCCACACAGGCAGACAGAATACTGTATATAATAACAATTAATAATATATAAAAACAAATAAATCTTTTTTTTTTTAAACTTGCTGATTTCATAGTCTGGTGACTATGCTAATCCCTGGGAGCCAGCCAAGACGAAGGTACTCAGAAATACAAGCAAATGGTGACTTTGAGACTTATGCTAACCACAGCAGATAACCTGCACAAGTGTGCAGGCATAAAGGCCTTGCTATGCAGAGCCCATTCATTTGTCATCTCATTGCTCTGCCGCCTGCAGCATGACCGAGTCATGGCGGCACTTGGCAGTTTACAATCACTTAGTCTCTGGTGAGTCCTGAATCAGCCTGGGTCTTGCATGTCTGATGTGCCGCCTCTCTCTCTCGGCTCTGCCTTTCTTTTCTCAATGCAACCTTCTCGTGAGAATAAAACGATTGTATTTCATTTCAACTAATGATCTTCTCTCTGTTATCCTGCACACACATAACCACAATCCTGCCAGGATTAACGATCAATATGATCGATTTCTGTGAGGCTTTAGTCCTCTTCGAATTGTAAAGCCACAGAGTTTCCTTTTATCACCACTCTAAATGGCTAGATAGGCTTGCAAATGACACCAATAATTTCTACGAGTACAATAGCCTTTCAAATAGCTCTTTCCTTAAGACAGGAAAAGGAGGGACCAGCATCGGACAGCATTTCTCTCAGGCTGCATCTCTTAATGAAAACTGAGGCCTTGTTCCATCTTTATTTCTTGGAAAGATAATTTAGTTAAATATGCATATGTGTATATATATATATATATATATATATATATATATATAAACATACACATATATGACAATGCACAGTTATTGTGCCAAATTCTGTTCACATCTTCTGTTTGTTTGTTTGTTTGTTTTTTGAGACAGGGTTTCTCTGTGTAGCCCTGGCTGTCCTGGAATTAGCTCTGTAGCCCAAGCTGGCCTAGAACACAGAGATCCGCCTGCCTCTGCCTTCCTAGTGCTGGGATTAAAGGTTTGCATTACCACTGCCTGGCCTCACGTTTTTCTTTACCAAGAGACAGAGAAGCTCTTGGCGAATTTTTAAGCATACCAGTTTTGAAGAACATTTTAATTAAGAAAAAAACAAACAAGCAACACAGCAATACTACAAACACAAGCGTAAAGCACTAACTGGACCATCTACTATTTCAGTTAGACCACCAGGGGCAGCACTAGCTGGATGGATGCAGACATATTAGGAAAGCACGCTTTTCCACGCTGGGACAAACCCTTACGCAGGTAAAGATCTTGGACCTTGTTTTGACAGTATCTGCTGGGTTTGGTTGTTGCTTTTGTTGTTGCTGTCACTGTGGTAGTGGGTGGTGAGAACCACCCGAGGGCCTCTTGTATGTGAGCCTCTAGGTAGTGTCTGCCATTCTAATAATTTGGAGACAGGCTACCACTAAGTTACTAAGGCTGGCCTTGAACTTGCCTTAGTCTCCCAAGTAACTGGAATAACAGGTGTGTACTGCCAGACAACGGTTGTTCTTGATATTTCAGATATGCTTTGCATGAAGAAAGTTTTCTGTTCATTTTTTTTTAACATATTAAATTTTAAGAGGAAAGGGCATGGGGGGGAGGGGCTGGGATTGGGCTGTAAGGTGGCAAAATAAAAATTAAAAATTAAAAAAAATAATAAAAAAGGAAAGGGCTAAGAATTTAAGTGACCTGGATATTCTTGCTCTCTCACAAAATCAGAATAAAAAGTTAACCTGTGTGGGCTGGGGGGCGGGGCCTGGAACTCTGGTGGATGTCAGAGGGCACCCTTCAAAAGGTGGCTCTCTCCTCCCACTGTGAGATCCCAGGATTGAACTCAGGTCCCTGGAGCTGTGCGGCAAGAGCTTTCCCCTGCTGAGCCATTTTGCCAGCCCAGTCATTAACTCTTACTGTTTCTTGAAAGAAAAAAAAAAAAACAAAAAACAAAAAACAAAAAAAACCCCACAAAAACAACGTCCACAACTGTGAGTAAAAATTACTCCTAACGGGGCTCAGCTCACACCCAGCAGGAGTGGGCGTGCCAGGCACCAGCTTCCCTGAGGCCTTCACTCCTATCATCCTCTCATCAGGCCACACATCTGACGGCTACACTGATCTCTACTGGAAACGCTGGGGATGCTGAAGTCAGCAAGAGACGAAGTGAAAACAACTCAGCTGGAAATGGCACGTGGCACAGGACTCTCACTGTGACTGCAGAAAAGCTCAGCCACCAGGGCATGGCAGGAACGAGGGGAGTCGTGCCAGGGGGACTTGGCACCTGCAAAGACAGCAAATGTTCCTTTGTTTGGTTAGATTATGAAATCGTCAAAGGGGAAGAAAGTGTGTGTGTGTGGGGGGGGTGTACAGGCAAGTGTGCGAACACTGAGACTGAGGCCACACTGGTCTTCAGGTTTCTGTGACTTCTACCGAGCAGGCAGGCGTTTGAAGGCTCTGTGCTCTCCTGAGATCTGGAGGTTTCACTGGCCAACCTATACGGGCCTACATCTATCTGGTCCATGTTGTGTGAGTTTTTCTACCCTTTGTGCCCCGATAAATTCAAGTGTTTTTCGAAGCCTCTGCTTTTGGCACACAAGCTGACTGTGAAATAATAAAGCCGTATCAACTTTGCTCTTGCCAAAGAAAAGCGCTGGCACATCACACTGGCCCAGCAAGCAACATCAAAGGAAAAGCGCTGATGGGGTCTAAAGCAAACCCAGGAGTGTGTTAACACAGCTACTAGACGTTCTTTAGTTTGATGATGAGTTGCCCTGACACTGGGAAAGGAAACTGTCCAGGCCCGTGTTTTCTCCAACTCTGCCCAGGGTGAATCACAAGAAACACATTTACAGTCCAGTACTATACCGGAAAAAAAAAAAAAAAAGCAATAAAAAGCACGAACTACATAAAAACCTGAGGTAAACGTGTCACAAGCATCTGTTTTCCAGCTTTGTTTTCTGTTACATGTTGGTTATAATCAAGTAAAATGACTCCGTGGGCCTCACAGTATGAAATCACTACTCTGGTTTGATGGGATGAGTCAGTTGACAGGACCCTTCAGCTCTGGCAGTGTACAACTGGAAATTAAGCACACAGGGAAGGGTGAGTCCTGCCCCTTCCTCCCTGACACAGGTCCCTAGGGCATTGTTACTGTCCTGCGGCTTCACTCAGCACCAAGGGGAGACAGCAGGAAGTCTGGGGCCATCACTTGAATCGGCTGTTGGGAAACATATCCATGGAACTTACGCTATTCCTCTTGAGCACTGGGGCCCTAGTATTTGTTCTCAGATCAAAGGAAGAGTCATTGGAAAGAAAGCAAACCAGCTCTAGAGACAGCAGATAAAGGGATTGCACAGCACAACACAGAGCTAGAGGACGGCCAAAGGAAGTAAGAAACGGAAAAGTGTGTCATACCTTTTTAGATCTGTTCTGTAGGGCGTACCCTCTGTACCAGCCTGCGGGGGAAGGGGAGAAACAGAACATTTTATGTTTCCTGGGAGAACGAAACAACATCAGCAACATACATTCTCACGCTCCATCAGCAATCCTGCGATGGAAACCAAGAGATCAGTACCGATGAAACCTTTACAGCAGTAGTTCTCAACCTGTGGGTTATGACCCCTTTGGGACCTTTTCACAGGGGTCACCTCAGACCACTGGAAAACACAAACATTCACATTATAATTCATGATTGTGCTATTCATAATAGCACAGTTATGGTTATGAACTAGCAATGAAAATAATTTTATGGTTGGGGTCACTACAACCTGAGGAACTGTAGGTATTAAAGGGTCACTTCGTTAGGAAGGCTGAGAACCACTGCCTTAGACTATGAACCATTCCGACTCTTACACAGTAAAGCTCTCGGTTACAGCTATATTCCCTTACTGACCACAAGACTCATAATCTTCACAGAGGGGGCTGAGAGATGACTCAGCAGTTACGAGCAGCTGTTGCTGTTGCGGAGGACCTGGCCTGAGCCTCCCAAGTGCTGAGATGTCAAAAATAACACCATACACCATACCGAGTTTTCATTCTTTTGCAAAATCCCATCGAGGTATTTATATACAGACAATCTCCCATTTGTCATGGAGTACACAACTTAGGGTGTCCAAAACCAAGTATTTTGTATAAAAAAACCAACTGAACACTTGGTCTTTCTTATAGCCAGGCCCATTCACCTAAGGTATCTTAGAAGGCAATCAGTCAGTGGTCATCTTGCCTCAGGAAGACGCTACTGTAAACAGAATCACGGCAGTAGGCGGTAAGTAGACGAGGTCTGTAGGTAGGATTGCAGGCATCTGCCAGCACACCTCTTGAGCTATCTCACGTTTGTCATTTAAAATACCAATCAGAAAACAGTCCCATACTCTGTGTTTTTTACATGTTACAAGTATAAAATTGAGCTTACTTCTTTGGGTGCAAACTGAATAACACTTTCACAAATTTTAAATTGTCAGTGAAACTAAAGAATGTAAGGATTTGCTGTGTTGCAGGGGGGGGATGGGGCTTTGGTATGGCATTATACTCTGTATCGAGCCAGGTAAGGGGCTGAGGAAAAGGTCTCTCCACAGAGACACTGGTCTCCTCTCAGGAAGCTATCGTACAGACAATCAGGTTAAGCTGGAGTACACTGAACATTCCTCCCCTGATTCAAGGGGAGTCAAGAGACCCTCCGAGGTCTTGGTTCTGCTAAGATATGAAAACAGTTTTGCAGGAATGGCTGGCTTCCACATCACCGTGGATCAAGGGCGGAGCTCTGGGTGACACCGAGAAAGAGCAGGTGAGGCAGTTTTCACTTTTCAAGCCCTATAAAGCCAAGGAGTCGCAAGACAGACTTCCACCCACTTGCCCAGAAGAATGCATCTACACGCCTGTAAATAGTGTTTTACACAGCCTTTCATCACAAAATTAGGTTTCCTAAACCCGTCATCTTGGGGGGGAAAAAAAGATTTCCATATAACCCTCGAGTGTGTCTCTAGAATCACAGTCTTTTTAAAACTGCTAGGAAAAAGCACAAAATTATTAATCTGGACTTGTCAAACTGAACACTTATTTTCCTCGGCAGCAGGCACTGTAGGCACCTAATCTACATCTGGGGAGTGTGAGCGAATACTTAATAAGAATGCAGCTACTATATAAAGTGAATAAATTGTAATAAATAATAAAAAAAAGAAAAAAAAAGAGTGCAGCTACTAATGATTGCTAAAAATTCCCAAGGCTATGATCACAGCGCACAGGTGTTTTGTTATTCCTATATTATAAAACTGGGTTGCAATACAAACAAGACTGCAGTTTTCCTATTAATTCTCAAGGTTCAATACAAAATTATCCTAATTAAATACAGTCTGCAGTCAGGCTTCAGTACACTTCACCATGCAGAGGCAGCGAATGGTGAATCAGAAAGCAGTCTGCAGTCAAGCAGAGAACACGCGGTATGAAATGGCAGGTACGTTCCTAAATTACCCTGTAATCACAACAAAAGGAACTGGCCAGAGGGGGCATCTTAACTACATCTAAGTGAGTCTCCAAAAATATGTTCCAGCGACCATGGCAACCTGGGCTGCCCTTCTGGGGTATAAAGTCATGTCAGTTTCTTGGGTACTGGCCCAATCCTGGATAAATATATATATATATATATAATCTCTGATTGGAAACTATTGGAGTTCCTAATTCCACAGGCAAATTTACTGGCTTTATCGAGCTCTCTATAACTTTTGTCAGTCAAGACACTACCATCTGCTCATCCTACCTGCCTGTCCAGGTAGGATGTCCAGGTGGGACGGCCTCCACCTAACAAGTGTCCCTACCTGGTTCTTCTCCTCCCTCTGTGGTAGTTCAACAAAAATTTAGCTGTGGAGAGCAAGTGTTGTTATCACATAGATATTACATAAATGAGCTGAGCTGAGGACACAACTCCGATGATGAGCTCAGACAGAGTAATGTGCAGTGTCTGGGGACATGGATATTTGATTAGATAAGATGATCAAAGACAGATCAGTCTGAGAAACTAAAAGGAACCAGGCAGGAAAATGACTAGGGAGAAACGTCCAGACAGGAGCAAATCCAGTGAAAAGGCTATGAGGCAAGAATTCTGTCTAAAGACAGGGCTCAGAGGAAGAGAGGGAGACTGGGAGAAGGCACCATGAGGGTGAGGAGAGTGGGGGTCTCCATTCCGGACACCCATTAGACTCGCCAGGGAACTTTATAAAATACTGATGCCTGGGCCATTTCCCCAGATATTTTTATTTAATCAAGCGCACAGATTTCAAGCTTCTCAAAGGATCCCTGGTGACACTAATGCATTGGCAAAGGTGTCACCCCAGGCAAAAGTGCCATGTACCGTGTGGAACCTGAGCTTTAGCCTAAGAAGAACGGGAAGCAATGAAGAGGAGGAGAGTGTGAAATGCCATCATGTTTTGTGCTTTAAAAAAAAAAATCCATCTGGCTGCTGTACAAGAATGGACCCTGGGAGGTGAGAAGCAGTAGGAACAGGGAGACTGGTGGGTGCATTGAAAATGGGAGGTGACGAGAAGACAGAGACTGTATTTAGAAGCAGCTTGAGTTGCTCTTGGCTTCACTAGCAAATGGGCATGAATGGAGAAAGAAAAGGTGTTTGGCTCTTGGGCTTATTATGCAAATGGTACACACTGCTGCTCTACAGTATAGGAAGATTTTAAAAAGTAAAGCCTTAGAGAATGGTAGGAGGAATGGGAGGCATACCCTGGCCCTTGGGCTTCCCTCCCTGAACAACTGTGTCCCACAGGCATGCTGTGGAACACTGGACATGTGCATGGTGGGAGGGGTGGGCAGAGGGGTCAGACTGGCATGGCAGCTCAAGGCCCAAGGAGAATCATACATAATGATAATTATCATTTAATAGTTGACCATATTAATGGTAAGGAGACACTTCTGTCAGAGGTCAGCCCAGAGAGAATCAAGATAAAAGGGAAAAGAAATGTGACCAGGACACAGCCTCTTACCACTGGAACCAGGCATAACAATCCCAACAACATGCATTAGAAATGAACAAATATAATGGATCTGAATTATTGGATGATGATATTGGATTATCAATATTAGTGAAAATCAAGCATTTACAGAGTTGGTGAGGTGGGCTAAGTTTTAATTGTCCTCTCAGCCACTGCTACAATGCCATGCAAGCTTGCTGCCATGCTCTCCACCACAATGGTCATGGATTTGCCCACTGAAACTGTAAGCAAGTCCCCAATTCAATGTTTTGTTTTTCAAATAAGTTGCCTTGGCCATGGTATCTCATTACAGCAATAGAATAGTAACTAAGACAAATATATTAATAACGGTTGTATTTCATGATTACATACACTTGTCAAAACTCATTGAATTATACACTAAATATAGTGACTTTTATGTAATTATATCTTTCATTTAAAAAGACACAATTGGACACCACCATACACCCCCTAGAATGACTACGGCCAAAGAGACTGACTGTGCCCACAAGGGTTGGGAGTAATTGGAGACTTGTGTTGGTTGGTCTTCATCAACCCAGCACAAATCTAGACAGATCTAGGAAGAAAGAATCTTATTTGAGGAAGTATCTCTGTATTGCCTGTAGGCAAGCCCATGCGACCTTTTCATGAGGGAGGGCGCAGCTCACTGTGGGTGGTGCTACCTCTGGGCGGTGCTCCTGAGTAGTATGAAAACACAGGATGAGCAAGCCATGAGGAACAGGCCACTAAACTGTACAGTGTTCATCTGCGGCCTATATATCAGTTCATGCCTCCAGGTCCCGGCCTTGACTTTCTTCTATAATGGACTGTGACATGGAAATAAAAGAGGAAATAAACTCTTTCCTCCCCCAGTTGCTTTAGGTCATGGAGCTTTACCACAACAATATAAACCCCAACTATGACATCTCTCTATTACCATGCTGGTAATTTCTTCTAAATTTACACATATCCTATGACTTAGCAATAGTCTCGTGCCTAGATATTTACTCAAGATGAATGGAAACATAATGTAAAGATGCTTTACAAGAATGCTTACTGATGTTTTAATTCTTTCGGGCTTAATGTGGAACTCGGAAGGCACAGTGCCATTTGAGTGAACGAATCATGGCAGGTTTATTCCACGAGTACTACTCAGCAATACAGAAAATTACCCATGTACAACTTTACGAATGACTCTGAAAGCCATTATGATGAGCGAAAGAACCCAAACAGTAAACATTTATAATCCCACTGACACAGGCCTGGCTAGCAGGTAAAACTAATAGTAATGGAAATAAAAACAGGGACCAATCACTGGGGTGGGAAGCATATGAAAGAAAGGTGCTCAGAACACTCCTGGCTAAGCTGTGCAGGCTTTGTCACTTGATAAAACTTATCCTACTGTTTATCTTAAATGCATTGTACAGCATCCAAAGTTTACCCTGAAGTCTTTAAATGTGAAAAGGGAAAGGAAGAAAAAAAAA